AGGAGGCCGAGGCACAGCTGCAGGCGGTGCTACGCGAGGGCGCCTGGCTGGCCAAGGAAAACGCGCGGCTGCAGGCCCAAGCCGACTGGACGCGGAAGGTGGCAGCCGAGAATAACGATGTACGCGAGCAGCTGGGCCGCGCGTGCCAGGAGCGCGACGCCTCCGGCTTGCTGGTGAAGCAGCTGCTGCTGCAGCAGGCGACGTGCGGGGAGTACAGGCAACAGCTGCTGCATGACCTGCAGAAGGCATTGCGTGATCTCCAGGCTAACCGGGAGGAGATGCGGGTGCTGCAGTGTCAGCCTGGTCACCGTCCCCAGGAATCCTGGGAGACCTCCCAAGCCTTGGATTCCCAAGGCAGGAATAGCAGAAGGACCAAATTCCAGCCAGGGCCTGAAGACCAAGATTCACAGCCTCGCAGAGACAAACAGGAGAAGGAAGCCTCTCTGCTAGAGAGCCCAGTTGCCCTTGTGGAGCCAGCCAGTGTCCCCCAAGTGCCTGACACAGTCCCGGACAGCCAACCTCTGGACTGCAGAGCCCAGGCCAAGAAAACCAGCCCCCAGTCAAACTCCTCCTCTGAGGTGGAATCCATGTGGGCCACCGTGCCATCTTGCCTTACTCTGGACATGGACACAGCCAGTGAGGTGGAGGATCTGGATCCTGACAGTGTGTCCTTGACCCTGGAAGTGGGAGACTCAGAGGTCCCTGCCACCCCCAAGCTCAAAGTCTTCCTGGTTCGATATAGCTACAACCCATTTGAGGGACCCAATGAGCACCCGGAGAGTGAGCTGCCCCTCACCGCTGGGGATTACGTATATATCTTTGGGGACATGGACGAAGATGGCTTCTATGAAGGGGAGCTTGAGGATGGCCGGCGGGGCCTTGTGCCCTCCAACCTGGTGGAGCACATTCCAGACAGTGACATCCTTGGCTGCCTGCCCCCAGTGTCACCTGACTCTGACCCTGACCCTGTTCAACTCCCAGCTGGACAGGGCAAAGCTTCAAAGGAAGACACTAGTTGCAGCTTATTGCCTGGGAAAGCTAAGGGAGCTGTGGACAGGGAGACATGCCAAATGGTGTCCAAGACAGAAGCGGCAATAGAGATCTCAGATGCCAAGACAGAAGATGGCTGGCTGGGCTCACTGCAGAGTGTGGAGGAGCAGGGCTTCTCTGGATCCTTTCCAGGGGCTAAAGGGGTCCTTTGTGTTGTCCCCAAGCAACTACACCTTCGGAATGTTGCGGCCACGTCGGCCGAGATCACCTGGGTCTACAGCAGCAGCAGCCACCCACATGTGGTGTACCTCAATGACCAGAAGCATGCCCTGACCCCAGCGGGTGTGAGCAGCTACACCTTCCACAGCCTGCATCCCAGCACACGGTACCAGGTGCAGGTGGAGGTGCAGCTGCCATGGGACTTGATGCAGGTGCACTGGGAAACTATGTCCTCCACTGTCACCTTTGATACACCCTTAGCAGGACCCCCTGACCCTCCACTGGACGTGCTGGTAGAGCGTCACACCTTACCAGGCCTCCTGGTGGTCAGCTGGCTCCCAGTGACTATCGACTCGGCCGGGTTCTCCAACGGAGTCCAGGTCACTGGCTATGCTGTGTATGCTGATGGGCTCAAGGTTGCAGAGATCACTGATGCCACTGCTGGGAGCACCCTGTTGGAATTGTCCCAGCTCCAGCTGCCCCTCATGTGCCAGAAGGTCTCTGTGAGAACCATTTCACTTTGTGGCGAGTCACTGGATTCGGTGCCAGCTCAGATCCCTCATGACAGTTTTAACTGTAACAGATTGACAGAGACCTCCCCCTTTAGTTACACCTGTGGTGACCCATCCCCCTGCAGAGTCACCTTCCCCATCTACCCTCAGAGGCTGGCGCTGGCTCCACTGAGTGCCAAGGCCAGCTCCCACATCCCCAAAAGATGTGGGGAGCCCCTGGCCAAGTTCCTAGAAGCATACCCTGAAGAACCCCCAGGGAAGCACTCCCCAATGCCCAATCTGAGTTCAGAAGAGGAATGTCCAACTACAGGGGCTGGCAGCCAAATCCAGGGGCCCACAGAGGCCTGGGAGGTCCGCATAGAAGACCTCTTTCAGAAGAGTTCACAGAACCACAGGCGGCCTCTGCCCAGTGGCCAGTCTGAGGGGGGAGAAGACCACTACTGGCACATGGGCACCAGCCAAAACCCTGCTCTGGGAGTCGTCCATCTGTCCCCTGAGTATGGGCCCAGGAAAGAAGCCTGTCAGGAAAAGGCTGCCCTTGAGAAGGTTCTTAGACAAAAGCACGATGCCCAAGTGTTCACACCTTCCCAAATGGGCACCAGCCAACGACTGGTGTCTGACTTCCATGACATTTTGCAGGAGGAGGAGGAGGTAGTGTGCTTCAGTCCATGGGCCACAGAGAGGCAAGAGCAGAGAAGGGAGCTTAGGACCCAGAGTAGGCGAGGTAAGGCTCTGAGGAGCAAGAGAGAGAGACCGCTCCATGAGCCCAGCTCTGCACTTTGTCCAACTTCATCCAGCAAAGTCATTAAGATGTCTGGTAGAGACCTCCCATTGCTGGAGGCGGGCATGGACACTTCTGTCAGGGTCTTTGTGGCACTCTTTGATTATGAGCCCTTGGTGATGTCTGCCAACCCCAAGGCTGCAGAGGAGGAGCTGGCCTTCCAGAAAGGGCAGTTGCTGAGAGTGTGGGGCTTTCAGGACTCCCGAGGCTTCTACCATGGGGAATGCAATGGTCAAGTGGGCAACATCCCTGGGCACCTGGTGGCTGAGGTGGAGGAGGGCATGGAGAGGACTGATAGGAGGTGGCATTTGCCAGTGCAAGGACACCTGCCCTCTGTGGCCCACCTAGATGACTTTGGGGGGCTCACTGACCCCCAGGACTCCTTCTCTCTGCCCCAAGGGAACCCCAGGAGACCCCCACTGTGCATTCCAGTGACCATGATGGCAGCTCTGGACTATAACCCCAAGGATGGGCAAGCAGGGGGCCAGATGAAGGGCAAGCTGTCACTGAAGGCTGGAGACCTGGTCACAGTCTATGGGCCTGTGGATGACAAGGGATTCTATTATGGGGAGTCAGGCGGCCACAGAGGCTTTGTCCCAGCCCACCTACTGGACCACATGTCCCTTCATGGAGAGTGAGCAAGGTTATCAAAAGGGGTAGTGGCCTCTGGCTGCCCACCACCTGCCAGAAGAGAAACAAGCATGCAGACCCTTTCACAGCACCCCTCCTCGCCTCCATGAAAGCCACTGTGTGAAACCGATGGCAGTCCTTTAGCATCCCCCAGCCTCTGAGAGCATCAGGGCTTAACTGAACTCAGAGGTTTCCAAAGGAAAACAGGACAAGCAGCCCCTAGAGTGTGACAAGCTGGTTTGGAGTTGTCAGTAACTATGACACGTATTTGGAGAAGTGCCTTTCTGTGATTATTAAATTTTTTTTTAAGAGGTTAACATTATTCATCCATTGTCATGTATGAAAGTCTCAAGGAAAGCCTGCCTCTTAAAAAAAGTGACCAGAATGTTATTTTTCTGTCTTATGTTCAACCCCATATTAAAATGTTGATAGAAAAAAGAAAAATAATATTTTATCTTATTTTTATTGATTGATTTTAGAGAAAGGGAAAGAGAGAGAGAAACATTGATTTGTTGTTCCACTTTTTCATGCATTCATTGACTGCTCTAGGGGCCTCATGTAAGTGGCCCGGATATAGTAAACTTGTCTTTTCATGCCTGGCTTATTTCACTTAGCATAATGTCCTCAAGTTTCATCCATGTTGTAGCATGTATCAGAATTTAATTTCTTTTTAAGGCTCAATAATATTCCATTGTATGGATGTATCAAATTTTGTTTACCCATTCATCTGTCAGAGAACACTTGAGTTGTTTCTACTTTTTGGGTTATTGTGAATAGTGCTGCTATGAACATGGGGGTACAAGTGTCTCTTCTCAGCTTTCACAGTTTTTCAAACTATCAGATCCCTGTGAGCTCACAACCCAGGATAGAACCTAAGGATGATGACCAGTAAGAAAGCTGCTGCTGCAGGAGAGGACAGCCCAGCAGAGGCACAGGAAGAGAGAAATGGATTGAGGGCAGGTGCCCACCAACTGGTAGGGCCCCCTCTTCTGGAAGGGTTTCAAAGTCCTCCAGAGCTTCCTCATGCTGCCACTAGGGGGCAGGCTGGGTACACTGAGGGTTGCTCTCCAGGGACCACACCTGGACAGAGCAAGAGCAGCTGGGCCCACACCTGCCTGCTCAGGTCCTGAGCCCCAGTGTCACGTGAGCAGCAAATGTCTCTGACCCTTCAAGCCTGGGATTCAGGTCCCACCCAGCCCTGTTCTCTCCCTCCTCTCTCCCTAGAGAACCCTGGGGAACCTCCTCCACACAGGGACCCATAAGGGCCGTTCTTCCAGAGGACCCAGGACCAGTGTCAGGCCTGGCAAGTCTGCCACCCAGCCACCAGAAAGCCTCTCTTCATTTTTCTTGCAGTCCCCCTCCTGTAGTCCTAGTTTCCCTGAGGCCATGGGAAGTTTTGGTGAGTGGATAAAGAAGCACAGAGCCAGGTGGGCTATGGAAGGCAGGGCCACTGAGTGGTGGAGCAACTGGGCTCTGGAACTTGGCCTGCCAGTAGACAACTAGGAGGCCTCTCTGAGCCTCAGTTTCCTCATCCTTGGAGGGGAAGGGAGGGTGTTTTGAGTAGATTCTGTGAGCGGAGCACTTGGCCAAGGGTCAGGACTCAAAGGAAGAACAAGAAAGCTGGTGAAGGCACAGGTGGCAGGAGTTTGGGGCAGGGGCAGATGGTTCTGGGCCCAGTCGACCTTCCCCAAGGGCCCTGAGAGCCTGAAGACTTTGATCAGGGGCAAGGGGAGGCCATGCAGGTCTAGTGAGGTGGGCAGGCTGGGAAGGAGTGAATGCCTGGTCATGACCTGTACTGGGCTCCTCCCCGACTGACCAGATGACTTGGAGGCCCATAGCCTGTCCAGGCCTGCCCAGGGGGAGAAAGGGGGATGGAAAGCCCAGCTGGCCAGAGGGCAAAGAGGAGCCTACAGAATGGTGAAAGAGGCAGTGTCTAAGGAGTCTGGAGAGTTCCGGAGCGAGGGTCACTGAGCCTGACCTGGCACTGTCCACTTCTGCCCAGGGGCCTCTGGTCAGGGCAGGTCTCAGTACCTCACCAGCCCTCCCCCAGAGAGGAGAGACTTTCAGGCATTTCTTATCGTTATCTGTTCTCACTCGCCACACATTGGATGCAATATCCCGTTTCACAAACCAGGACACTGAGACCCAGTGGCCGGAGCAAAAGTAGCTGCCATAAAAGCAACATGAAGACAGTTAAGTGGCTCCTTTTAGCCTTTCCCTTGGCCCACCTGCTGTGGGAACCCCATTCTTGCCAGAGCCCCCTGGGATTAGCCCATCCATCCCCCTCCACCTCTGCCACTAGGCATTTTTAAAATGTAAGGTTAACTGACCAATTTCAGTCATTAAACGAAATGTGTTCACAAGAACACAACATGAAAGACAATATAAACAGCTCAGGTTCCACCTTTTGGTCACACTTCCTCTCCTTGTCTCAGCCCCATGGAGGTCAGATTTGAAGGCTGGGGGGGCGGGAAATGAGGGGTTCCACCTAAGGTAGAACACACTGGGCCAACCCTGGGCTTGTGAAACCAAACACACTGCCAGGTGGAGCCAGCTTTAGGAACCTGGGCACCGAGGGTTCCCGGGGCCATGGCAGCATCACTTATACCCCAGTGGCCCCCAGGTCTAGCCAGCCTCTGGGCTCAGTCCTGTCTATCCTTGACTCAGGTGGTGGGTGGGGTCTGCCGTGGGTCTGTTTTGGGCTGGAATGCCCTATACTTGGAGGTCCCTTCTCTTAAAATCCCTGGCCTCTGATACCTGGCTACAGGTATGTGTGCCCTGAACACTCAGACAAACTCCTTTTAATTCCTTCAGTAACTGACCACCTGGCTAAACCTCCAGGATACTGACCTCAGCTTAGGGGACCCCATTGGCCACAGCCCCTTGGTTAGGGTCTTTGGCTAGAGGTTGCCCTTCTGGTGGCTTGGCCTCTCCTGTTCAGCCTGAGTGGGTGGGGGCTGGATCTGAATCCTGGAACACCCACTTCCTGGTTGGCCAGTTCCCTGATTCTCAGTCTCCAATTTCTTTTTCCCCCAAATTGGCCTTCTGCCTGTCCTGCCCCTTCAGCCAGCTCACTCCAAGGTGTCCTTCAAAAGTGCTCTCCTCCTATCTTGGCAGCATTCACTGGATCTAGCTGTCCCTCCGCTGTGCAGGGACAGCCCCCAGGCATAATCCCTGTGCCCTGGAATTACTCATTTATTCCGTCGCCTCCCCCAACAGACTGGGCGTTACTCCACGTTGCACCCTCAATGCAGGTATTCAGACCTGGTGTGGACCATGTGTGGAGCAGGCATTGGGGTTTGTGCCCCAGCAGATTTGTTCCTAAATTAGGAAAAGCACAACTGGCTTGTGACCAAGACGCCCAAGGAAGGGTTGGCCTGGGGCTCTAGGTAGCTGCATTTCCCACTGAGAACTGGCCTTTGCAAGCCTTCAGCATGTGCCTTAGCTCACGTACTGCCCAAGGCGACCCAACCCAGATACTGCAATTATTTCTCCCTAGCACAGATGGAGAAACTCAGGCTCAGAGAGGGGAGGTCATTCAAGGTCATTCAGCCAAGTTGGTGGCAGAGCTGGGTTGGAACCCAGGTGTGTCCCTTTGCCCCATGTCCTTATCTGAAGGATTCCTGCCCCAGCCTGGGGGCAGGGCCTGGGTCTAGGGAGAAGGCCAGAGGGAGGGAGAGTCAGGAATTCAAACTGGAATTGGGAAAGCTGGTAGGGGGAGGGCAGGAGGTTTGGGAGTGGCCAGTAGATAGGACTTGGGCAACAGGGTGCTCTGCGGAGCTTCACAAGGTGGAGGGGGCAGCCAGGCAGGCACAGATCTGCTGAGTCAGAGATGCATCAGGGTCTCCAGGGCAGGCATCTGAAAGGTGGTGCTGGGCTGAGACCAGTGAAAGCACCCCAGGGTGCTGGACCTTGGGGTTGAATTGGGTGCTGAGGCCTCCCCCAGGACCATGAGGATTTAAGGAGAAAGAGGCCTCAGAAAGGACAGGGGGTCACATTTTCCAGAAGGAGGGAGTGGTCAGCCTCCACAAGGTCAGGCAAGATAAGGGCTGCTGGGCTCAGCCTCCCTCGTGACTGTGGCCAGAGGCTTCTGTCCCAGCCCATGGGCTTCCTGGTGTCCTGGCCATGAGGGAGCTGGCCCCCTCCCCCACTGCCCCAGGAAGCTCCACTGGGCCCTGGTGATGGGGGAAGGCCTCAGGAAGAAAACTGCAAAGCTGGAATTTGGAAAACACAAGGCTGCACAAGAGCCACTCCCATCCTCTGACTACAGAAGAGGTTCTCCAAGCCCCAGGACCCTGTCTCCCAACCTGAAATGAGGAGAGGTCTGCAGATATGGTTATCAGCCCCATTTTGTGGGTGGGAAAACTAAGGCTGATAGAGGTCTGTTCTGGGTCAGCTGGCTGGTCAGTGGCACAGCCAGGATTTATTTATTTATTTATTTATTTATTTATTTATTTATTTATTTATTTATTTATTTATTATTTTTTATTCTCACCTGAGGATATGCTTATTGATTTTAGAGAGGGGGAAAAGGGGGAGAGAGAGAGAGGGAGAGAGAGAGAGAGACATTGATGTGAGAGAGAACATGGATTGGTTGCCTTCCATGTGTGCCCCGACGTGGGATTGAACCCTGAAACCTAGTTTTATGCCCTGTCTGGGAATTGAACCCAAAAACTTTTGGTATACTGGACAATGCTCCAACTCACTGAGCTATGCCAGCCAGGGCGGCACAGCCGGGATTTAGATCCAGGGGCCTCTCAGTGGCTTCCCCTAGAAACAGAGGTCTGCCAACCATCGTCTCCACCCCGCCCCACCTTCATTCATCCATTCACCTGGGCCAGGTGTTGTTCAGGCACAGGGGTGACAGCATCCTGCAAACAGACCCCAGAACAGATTCTGCCAGTCTAATGGTGGAGACAACTAAAGGGTAAGTGGGGGGTTGATCAAGAGCAGAAGGCCCAGGGCCTGGGGGAGTTTTTGACCACGCAGGGGGCAGGCAGAGCCCCAA